CACAATTCAAAGTGCTGATTTTGACCTATAAAGTTGTATATGGCTTTTGTCCTGGGATTTTGAAGGACTGTCTCTCTCTACAGACCTGTCAGATATCTAACTTGTATTTGTTGTACCAGGGGGACCCTGCTGGCACAGTAGGTTAAACTGCTGAGCTGCTGAACCTACTGACTGAAAGGTTGGTGGTTCTAATCTAGGGAGTCTCCTGCCGTTAACCCCAGCATCTGCCAACCTAGCAGTTTGAAAACATGCAAATGTGAATAGATCAATAGGTACCACTTCAGCGGGAAGGTAACAGCGCTCCATGCAGTCATGCCAGGCACATGACTTTGGAGGTGTCTATAGACAACGCTGGCTCTTCGGCTTACAAATGGAGATAAGCACCACTTCCCAGAGTCAGACTAGAGTAGATTTAATGTCGGGGAAAGCTTTACCTTTACTAATTGTATTTTAACTTTATATCCACACAGTAATATTTAATTGCTTTTTAAATTTTTTTATATTTACTTTATTTTAAATTGTCATTAGATTGTGTATATATTAGCTGCCTTGAGTTCCCATGGGGAGAAGGGCAGGATATGGTGTACTCTACAGTAATATGAGGGAAGATAATAAAACACTATTCAGTATGTAATCGAGACCATGTATGCATAGGTAAGTTTTGGAGAAATATCTGCCTAAAGGAGTGGTATACTTAAGAGTTCCAGTTGCTGGATGCAGAATACATATTAATGCCAGAACAGTTCAACAAAAATGCCAAGACAGCTCTACAAAAATGCCAGTTCAATGGTACAGGTGACCCCAGTCCTCTCATATCCTGATGAGAACTTCATTACAAGTTTCCTCATGAGGCAGTTTTCCATTTTTTCTATTTTTAAGCTTAAACTACTTAAGCTCTATATGACTTTGCAAAAGGGTGTGCTCTTCCAACAGGTGCAAAACAGCAGCATCTACTCATTCTGCTAGATGCCAATACATAATTCATTACAGCAGATTAAAAAGAAAATTAAATGCCAAAGTCCTTTTAAAAGATCATGCTTTTGGTTACTAAATGGCCCATGCCAAAATGTCTTTTTGGCCTCCATGAACAAATCAGCAAGTGAAAGCCAAGACTCCACTCATTCCTTGTAGATAATTAACAAGGAGGAAGATGTAAGTCTGGTTTGTTCTCATTTTTGCAATGATTGTCTTCTGGAGAAATTTAAGTACAAAACCTTGTGATTACTCATGTTGAAGGTTACTGCAAGATAAAAGACATTTTGAAAACTAATTGCTAAATAGAATTTAGGACTGAGTGTTCTTCTTATGCAGCAATAGTTTAACTGAATGCAAGTATGGCATATGAAAGAGTACTTAGACTAGGAAATGTAATGATCAGGGTTTTCATCCCTGTTCACATTCAATATATCTGGTCTTGATCAATACATTTGCTTATCTTCTTGTGAAACTACAGAATGGACACTGTGTCTGCACATTTTTTTTTATTTCAGACATGAGAAAGTGTACATTTCAAACACTGATGCTACATGCACAGATAATAAACATTCACTGATAATGTTGACAAATTTCCAGCTCTTCTGCCATGTCACTGTTTCTTCTTCATTTGCTGGAAGACATGCCAAAAAGAGTGTAGAAAAGAAGAAAGAAGAGGATGGATCTGATCAGATGAAAATCTCTAGCACAGGTTCACAAGCAGGGATGAGAGACAGGGCCTTCTCATTGGTGGGCCCTCAGCTGTGGGACTGTAAAGGGGAGACAGTGGAGGGTCCCACCCTAGAGTTGGAAGGAAGCTGTTCCTTTAAAACACCTGCAGGATTCAAGGACACTGAATCAAAGCAAGCAAGGAGACACAGGTGGACTAATTGGAAGGAGGGAGGGGGGAGGGAAGGAGTGGATAGAAGAGGGAGAGTGGAAGGGAAACAGGAGGCTCCATTGGACTTGAGTTGCTGGCATGCTAGAAATAAAGGAGTTGCTGAGAGAACTTCAAACGGCTGCCTGAGACTTGTTTATCATAAGAAAACCAGCAGAATGGATGAACATGCTTATGATGTTCCCCTGCTTATGGGGGATGCTGGACCTTCTCACAGGAACTCCCTTCCTAGGGATATTCGATTGGTCCCCTCTCTCCAGACTTTCCGGAAAAAAGTAAAAACCTGGCTCTTTGAACAAGCTTTTGGAAATGCAGCATAATAGATAAACATGATACTATGAAAGAGCGAACAAGGAACGGCTTAAACAATGCTAATGGATAATGAGTTTAACTGGAAGACATTGATGATTATAGTTTTAATGGTTTTATATGGATTTTTATTATGCTATGTTAAATATTTTTAATTGATATTTATATGTTGTGGCATCAAATTGTTACCAATTTTGTATGCCGCCTTGAGTCACCTTCGGGCTGAGAAAGGTGGGATAGAAATACTGTAAATAAATAAATAAATAAAAATACTGTCCACTGACAAAAGGCACTAGAAATTTACCTTTTTATAATGCATTTATTCTTCAGAAACAAAAAATCGTTATAATTATATTCCTGTTATTAAAAGATGTGGCCATGGTCCAGGCAGAGTGGGATGCTTAAATACATAATTGTGGCAAGCAGCAAAGGATCTCCCTGTTAATACCATGAGCCACCAGTGATTGTAAAGCATCAGGCCACTACATATATAAAGTTATTCTAGGCTTCTGTCCACTCAATGTTCTGCTTTTGAAGATGTTTGGTCTGAATGACCTTTGTGGTTCCTTCTAATACTGTTTCAGCCCAAACAAAGCAGAAGTCTGTGAGGCAATTCAGTGACCCTACATCATGTACTGAAAGGTTTTAGAAAGCAATTTTGTTCTGCCATTCTTGCATGACATCAGGCTTTCAGATCATGAATAATAGCGATGATTAACATCAAGCTGCTTGTTTAAAAATAAAATTGAACAACAATTGAATATTGTCTTGGCACAAATCATGCCTCCGATACTCATAAATGAAATAATCTATAGAAAGTGTGACACTATGAACTTTGTAAAATAAGGCTGAATAATTACCCAATATTTCTCCAAAAGAAAAGAACATTTGTTGATGATGCATGCTTTTGTTACCTCCCATAAAAGATTGCAGTGACTCATGGAATGATGGGTAATGCAAATACATGTCAACGGAGTCATTATGAATCAAATCTTGCCACCTACCTCCTCTATTATCTGAATGCTTCTAGCACAAGAAATTCATTGTCTATTTTTTCTGATGCAGATTCCCAACTGGTCTTCAGTAAGATTTTTTTAAACACAGCTAGTGAGTCACATCAGTACTACAAGGAACTGTAATACAAAAATAATTGTGAAAAAAAATCTACTTTATGATAGGGAAAAAGAACTTTGAAAAACAGGGGAAAACTGATAATCCTTCCAAATTTATGTTGTACATTTATATTATACATATATTTATATTGAAGAAAATGAGATAGTTGTACCATCAAAATATTCATCCCAAAAGAAGAACAAACCGGCCAAAAGGCCAAAGAAAATTTTAAATCTGAAAGATTTCAGTAATAATTATCTTTTTTTTTTTACCAGTGGAAGACTTGAAATGCAAATGGAGACTACTTTTGCCAGGACTCAGACAGGAAGAGAGAAGAACAGTCAATCAACAAATTAACCATTCTGTTTATGTACCATCTTTTCCTCCCAAAAGTGGGACTCAGAGTGGCTTATAGAATAAAAAGAGGTTTAAATAAAATTACATATGACGAAAGCAATCAGAAAGTTATTTTAAAATTAAACTGTCTTTAGAATTAAAACCATGCAAGTGTTCCTGCTTTCATCCCTTCAATTATTTTTTTGTTTATCTATCTAATAATGATGTATATATACAAAATCCACACAATTTTGTATCTAGTGTGCCCCAGATATGACTTCGGTAGTTCCCAATCATTGTTCCTCCTTCAGTTTTGTACTCCAGCTCACAGAATTCCTGACAACTGGCCAATCTGGCTAGGGCTCCACAGAGAATTTGGCTCTAATTTTCGCATGCTGTTATGGCAACTTCCCAAAGATTACATTTCACTTTAGTTCATTTACTCCAAAACATTTATTTTATCCTTAAAGTGTTGGCTGGAAATGGTAAAAAAGGGATAAATGGAACATAGTGTCCTGTCACCCCACCAGTTTCCCAAGAACCATTCAGTCTTTGTTCTTTCTCCTCTTCCAGTCATACAACCATGCTACAGTCCAGCCTATCCAACCAGCAATATAGATATAGATATATCAGGAACAAGCAATGCTTCCTGGCTATCAGTCTTTTGTTCTGAATCCTTCCTTAATACTGGTGCCAGAACCTCAGGGCTTTAAATCCAGATTCATTCAATTATTCAGAACAGATCAATACATATTGATCTTTTCTTTGCCCTTCTGTTGGTGATTCAGAATGATGTAAAGGTTCCCTGTGAAAGGAGTCACAATCACAGCTAGCTTTATTTCTAGGGTTTTCCTGCTGAATTTTGGTTACCATTGTGTGAAATCTGATCAACACACTTGCTGGGTTCTGAAAGTATAAATAAATAACCCATAGGGTCTAATACCCCAAAAGAAGTATATTAATTCAACATTCAGTATATTCAGTAAGTAGACAGGTACAGGTGAAAGAGAAGATCAAGCAAAAAGATTGGTTCTGGCAAGACAGGAAGAAAGATGAGATTTTCCAGCTCTAGATTTGCATCCAGGAAACTAAAATTTCTTGACCTCAGTTACTGGACATTTCCCACTCAGGGATTTTATACTGTTCCTGATGGAATAACCGAAATTTACAAGACTTTGGCCTCAATCTTGTTTGTGTCTTGACTAGAGTGGGCTTACTGCATCAGTAGTATTGATATACCAATGGCTTGTAATCACCAGACAATACAATGACATCATGAATCTATTAGTCTTATTTTCATTCTTCGCAATTTGAATGGTAAAAAATCATTACAACGTTATCAATGTGTTATTACGTATCTTTTTACACATAGCTGGCAACTGAGAGGACACATTTAAAATCAGAAAGATGGAGCACCAGGGAAGGTGGCAGTGGAAAAGGAATGAATGAAGGGATGGAATCAAGCGGAGACTGTGATGATGAAGATGGATGTCAAGGGTCAGGTGACAAAACCTACACGAAAGGTAGGATTACTTATTTTGCATATAATTGCTTAAGAAATTCCGAAGTGCTGTGTTTGTCTACAAAGTTGGCCATATTTTGATTTCCAAAAAATAGCCATTGTTTAGTGTTTCATTGGAAAGTCTAGAATTTTCTTGATGGACATGTTACCTTCATTCTTTCCCATGAAAAACTTTGGCTTCTTAATTTACTTCATTACAACTTGCTATTTTGTTGAAAGTGTGGGGTGATATGGGTTTATAATAACTGCATTTTAATCTCACTGGCCATGCCAAAACTGTTTGGGATGGGGGCTACTTTGATTTGTTCTCTCAATGCCTACATTGGCAAGAAAATTATAAATGTTTCCAAGCGACTTAACGTCCAACCATGTGTTGGGATGTTGGTTTGTTGAAACTCGCAGTAGTCAGGGGCGGCTCAACCCATTACGCAAAGTAAGCATTTGCAGTATAGTTGATTTTGCCCAGGGACACTCTTGAGGCACTCTTGGGGGAAAATAGACATTAACATATGTGAGTTGTAGTTACTGGGATGTATAGTTCACCTACAATCAAAGAGCATTCTGAACTCCACCAATGATGGAATTGAACCAAATATGGCACACAGAACCCCACGACGAACAGAAAATATATATCAGTGATTGGTTGAGAGGGAACGCCAAAATACTGTTTGCTTACCATTGAAAATTACCTAGGGCCGCCTCTGGCAGTAGTTAGGATTAAAGCATGATCCCTGCTTTTGACAAAATGGAAAGCTTTTGCTAACTAAAAGAGGAGGCTTAACTCTTCTTATTTATTTTTTAGTTAAATGGTGAAAATACTATACATGAGCCCACATTAGACTCACATAGGTTGCTCTAAACCAGTGGTTCTCAACCTATGAGTCCCCAGGTGTTAAACTGGTAAACTGACTGGGATTTCGGGGAGTTGTAGGCCAAAACACCTGGAGATTCAGGTGAGAACCACTGCTCTAAACCATGTCTGGGCACAGTTATTATGACTTAAGTATTTAATGACTATCTATCTATCCTGCTTCCCAGTGTAAAGATGGGCAACACGGATAGATCCAAATGATGGTTTTCTATTTCTTAAGACCCATATTAGGGTATATAAATCTTTCAAATGTGAAAAATAAGCACACACAAACACAGAAATACGATTTGATGCTTTCTCGTGGTTTTGATTAGAAGCTAAATTTCCACTCCTGGAGAGTTTCTGAGGTGATAAATAGATTTCCCCTCCTCATTCCTTTTGAGTAAGGAAGGTCTTAGAGGATCTAAGAGATGTCTGGGATCACCACCATACAACTGATTGCATGAACATCGGGGTCCACAGATCACACTTGATCCACCTCATAGTATTGCTTTTCTGGACATAGTAGGAATCTGTATATACAATGCTCAAACCCAAGTTTCGTCATTCACTTATGATTTTTTATTTAAAAATTTCTGTTGCATGTTGTTTTTGTTTTAAGTATTATATCTTTGCCTGGGAATAATTGCTAGTTTGTTTTTTTATGTTCTGTACTTAACTTGGGCAAAGCAAATATGTATTTAAATCAAAAATTCCTTATTCAATTTTTTTTCTTTGTTCATGTTCATTCTGACCAATACTGTATGTCATTTCCATGCTACATTCAACCAAGATTTTACATTTTAAGTGATTTATATAGCATGTTTTCACTGCAACTGTGTATAAATTAAACAGCGCCCAGGTGCTACTAAATATGTTTTAATTGACTATTGCATTATTTATGTGCTATGCTTTGCCAGAATGTTCCATGACTCTATTGTCATTTCAACATTCAGCAGTGTAAAATGAAATGCTTTTAAAACTTGGCTAATAGAGAAGCTTATCAGCATAAGCACAGCATAGGAAATCTACATTCCACCCACCCCCTGATGCTGCCGTGGATGTGGGAAGGGCTGGAGAAGCTAAATAATTATGTTTCATAACTAACAGTGCAGTGATTCAGTACAAACCATGTCTACTAAAAATGTAGACCAAATATATTGTAGTGAATGCTTTGGATTTGTATCATTAAGAGCAAAAATTCCATCTTGAGAAAATTATAATGGTATTTTGTAATTAACTTTAAAGTACTGTTATGTGTTTAGGCCTCTGGCTGTAAATCTGTTTTGCATATCTCAATGCAATTAAGAGAAAAAGTGGGAGTAATCCAATTAAAGGGTTCCTTAGTTTTAACAGTGATATGATTTTTCAAAATTTCAACAATTTCATTTTGTGTCTGTGTGTATAATGCTATAAACTTTGGATCTATTTAAAGTGGTACCAAATTGTCAAAATGTACATTTCCCAAACACAGAGTTTGCCTCTAAAAAAAACCCAACATGCTTGTTCAGTTAGCCCTCTACATTTTTAGGTAGCCCTCTAAATCCTTCAGTGTTGCTTTATGGTCAGCTTCCACTAGAAGTTGACCATAAAGTCAGTCTGGAGTCACTCCAGAGGACCTAGTGATTCCTAAAAAGAACATTTCTCTAGGCATTTGCAGGTTCACCACTATGATTATATGGTCAACCTATGGCAGAAGTTGACTATACAGTCATATAGATTTCTAGAGTGGTGTTTCCTCAGATTAAAAACAAGCATTTTAAAATGTGCCATTTCCCTCTAATTTCTGAGAAGGTGGAGGGTCAACTGTCTAATCACTTGTTCAATTGTAGGTCCCCCTTTGTGCCTTTTTAGAAGCATCCAGCAGGGCTGTACCAAAGAAGACACTTTCAGCTTTTAACTTGAAGCTATTTGTCTTGAACTGCAATAGTTTAGTGAATGATAGTTTATTGAGCTGGAAGAACATCCCACCTTAGTGATTATGACTTCTGTTTTTCAAAGTGCTTCATCTCCTCACTACTTTCTCCATAGTCCCTCTGGTACTAGAAGTTATAGCTGATACTGCATATTCTGTGTAAGAATGGGGTAACATCACAAGAGCTTTAGCCACTGTGGCTTCAATATATGTAAATCATCAAAAAGAACATGGCAGGGAAGAGAAGCCTTTCCCCACCTTCATAGCTAATGACATGAATAAATTGTTTTGATGATAACTAAATAGTGAGCAAGTATTGGAAGGTGTGAATATGCATTAAGAGGAAGAGAAAAGTGGCAATTAGATAAGCATAATCACTGTGTTCAGAGGATACATTGGCATAAATGAGGGAGTGATGTCTTTCCAGATGTTGTGGACTGCAGTTTCTAGTGTTCCTCACATACCTGCTAGAGTTGATTGAAACTGGAGTCAAACAATATCTTGGAGTTTTTGTTTCTCACCTCTAGCAGCAATCCAGTAGTTATTCCCAAATGAGAACATAACTATTCAACCAATGAATTAATGCAGCACTCTTTCTGCTGACTACATGTGTTTGTTCTAGTTGGGATTAACATTATATTTACATTATATTCAGATTAGGCTCTTTTGAATGATTTAATATGGTATAAGAAAAAAATATGCGCAATCATTGTAAGGTTCAGTGGGGTCCAGGCATAAGAAAACAAGGTCAAGCAACTAGAACATTTTGAGTAGATTTAATATTGGACAAGGAACATCTCTTCTGAGCACAACAAAGCAATTAAAGGTTCACTATTATGCAGTTGAACATACTGAAGGAATGTAAATATTCATATTCAATAATAAGTTTGTGATAAGGTATGGTGTCCTAGATAAGTTTTTTCTTTTCTGGAACATGTGCATATTTTATTACTTTGCTTAATGTCAGTTATTTCCTGATATGTTGATGGTTGCTTTTCCTCTGATTTTATAATTACCCATTTTGTTTACTTTGTAGTCCATAATTTAGATCTATATGGCAATACCACTACTAATGTGTATGTATGTTTGTGTGTAAGAAAAAGGATGGGGCTAGTAGAGTACATGTTTTAATACTAGTACACATACACATATCAAGAAAAAATCCCTTGAAATAAAGCCAGGCAAATATGCTATTCTGATATCTAGTTAAGGATAGGAAGTAGCAATTACACAACTATCCTAAACTTTCCTAAACTAGATATCTTACAATCATGGTCTATGTCCATGTGGTGGAGCATTTGTCACATTTCTAGTGCAGTCAACTAGTTATTTCTTTGTTATTTTCCAGATGTGGGTGCACCTGGGCCCTCCAGGATGTAGTAAGAACAAGTGTATTTAGTGTGATCCACAAGCATAAACTTAATAAATAGCTGAATAAGTGTAAGCAAATGATTTTTGCATTTGTACATTTCTTCTTCCTTCCAACCTCCCCACTCACATCCACAGTAGTTTACTATGTGGCCCCAAATTTTCCTCCAGGCTTCTTGAGATGTAAGAAACATACAAGGAACTGTTGAAATACGGTAAGGGAAAATTGTACTGGTCCTAGTTTCCATTCCACTGGAACAAACCAACATTATTGGAAACAACCATGTTCAGATCATCAGTTGTCAACTTTCAGTCTTCCATATGTTTTGGACTTTGATTTTTGTAACTTCCACTGTGCCTTCACTATACAGTGAAGAACAAACCACCTATAGTGGTAGTTCTCAACCTGTGGGTTCCCATGTGTTTTGGGCTACAACTCCCAGAAATCCCAGCCAGTTTACCAGCTGGTAGGATTTCTGGGAGTTGAAGGCCAAAACATCTGGGGACCCACAGGTTGAGAACTACCACTATAGGTGGTTTCTTCTCCACAGGTTGAAAACCACTGCTCATGGAGTAGCCTCTCCATGGTTTTTTTTTATAGTATTGTAGTGATGTAGAACTATAGGGTAAGGCACGCATGGCATCCATTCTAAAGGATGGTACTTTCATGTTTCTTAATGAGAATAGAAGGTTGAGTTCATTGATAGCCGCATCCTGTTTAACTGGTATCAAATTCGAATAGGCACATTCTTTTCTGTTAATATGCACCTACCAAGCATTTTCCTTAAAACAATGTATCTAAAGCTATTATAAATGCATTTCATTATGTTTCTTTAATCTCCTCCATTAAGATGTTTTTAAAAGCCAG